GAACATCAATTCTGACGAAGTCCAATACAGATATAAGTTTCCAACAGTGGAGGGAATAACCAGTTAGTACGGACTTCAAGACAAGGACTCAGAGGAGTAGCCCGAGCTAATCGGTTCCAAGGGGGGGGCACCCCAAGATGGGGGGGAGGGGAGGAAGTACAGTGGAGAAGGATAGGTTTAAAGGAGGGAGAAGGGGAAGGGAGACAGAAAGTAAGGAGGCAAAGTATAAGAACAGAAAGGTAGTGACATCTAGCTGCCCGTCCGATCCCCACATACTTATATGGACAAGGAGTCTGCACCAAAGGAGAGAGGGAGGTATGATTCAATTCATGGCTCCCACAACTTCCTAAATGGCTCCATAGCATCCCTTTGGATTGCAGTGAGTTTCTCAAAGAACATCACATGTGATACTCCGGACTTGACTTCAGCAAAAGGGAGGTCAGGGGATTTCCAAGCTTTCACAATGACCCGTTTGGCCTCTGTGAGAATGATTGTTATCAACCGGTGTTGACGTGTCGTACACACCATTGGTTTTTTTATGTAAGAGAGCTTCCAGCAGGTCCTTGCAAAACGTCTTGCCAGTAACAGTATATAGCAGTTGATAGACTCTGTGCCAGAATCTCCGCACTTTAGGGCAGGACCACGATATGTGGAGGACCGAACCTTCCACCCGGCAACCCCTGAAACAATTCGGAAAGTGAGATGGGATAGCTCTGGAGATCCGGAGCGGGACCAAATACCACCTGAAGAGCAATTTGTAATTTGCCTCAATCGTTTGTACATTCATCGAACTCCTAGAGGTTGTCCTCCATATCTGGTCCCAAGTGTCAGGGGAAATGGAGCATCCTAGGTCTTGTTCCCATTTGAGAGTGTAGGCTGGTAAGGAGGCATGCAATTTGTCTAAATAATAAGGTACCGTATTTTGCGGTCTATAAGACGCTCCGGACGATAGGACGCATGGCTTCTGTGACAGAAATTCTATGACAGAAATTCTGTCACAGAAGCTGCAGTTAGTGACTGCTGAGACAGGTGGCGCTGTCTCAGTAATCACACAGAGCAGACGAAGAACGTCGTTCTTCGTCTGCTCAATGGGCTCTATGGTGAGCTCCTATGGGGGATCGTGACGGGTCACAGTCCCGCAGAGGTACGAGGGACCCAGAAAACCTCGGCGGGGGGGCGGACACTATCGCCGATGCCGCCGCCGCTCGATTTAATACAAGGGATCTACTTAGATCGCTTGTATTAAACGAACAGCGGTTCCCACTGTACATTCAGCTCTGCTTGTCAGGAGCAGGGCTGAATGTACAAAAAGAAACTACTCGCCCGGCGCCCGAAACTGCATGTCCCGGGTGTCGGGCGATAGGTATTCGCTCCATAAGACGCAGGCACATTTCCCCCCTCTTTTTGGGGGAAAAAAAGTGCGTCTTATGGAGCGAAAAATACGGTGTATAGGGCCAATATAGTCCCTGAGTCCCGTTTCCCATAGTGTAACAGTCATCAAAGGGGGTGAGGGGGGGAAGGTTTCGCTGGGACCCCAGGCAGGTCAGCAAGAAGTGTTTAATCTGAATAAATTGAAAGATATGCCTAGAGGTTAGCTGGTGATCAGCGCTGAGCGGCTCGAATGGTATGATACCCTGTGCAGAACAGAAGTCGTTAATTAGACTCAGGGATTTCAAAAGCCAGGACTTAAAAGCCATTGGGTTGGAAAACCTGGTTGGAACAATGGGTTACCATGAATGGACATCAGAGGAGTGTGGGTGGGACATCAAACCCATTGGGCGTCTCAGCCCATCCCAGACTTTCAGAGTGTGTTTGAGTACAGGGTTGATAATGTTCCCCACGTATTTTGCGTGGTAGCCAAGGAGGATTAAGGAGGGAAATTGGGGAACAGGTGTAGGCTTCCAGCGAGTGCTGCCAATAAGATGAATTGAGGGATCCATGACAGCTTGGGCTCAGAGGAACTGATGCAAGTTGTCTTTCAGCCAGGAACACTAGGGACAGCAAGTGACAGAAAAGAAGAACTGAGGAGGCCGCTATGGATTGAAGGTGCTATTTTATCTTTTTGCAGATTACTATTTTTATTTTGACTCCTGTTACAGGATGACAACACTTTCTCAGTCTTCCAGCTGCATTCAAGTAGTCCCAAGAGTGTGCACACGCACTCACAAGAAAATGTGATGCAGGTATTGCTGGAGTGTATGCATGCAGATGGGTAGTGGCTGCAAAGAGGCTGGATCAGCAGTCTCAGAAGTTTATGATACAAAGTGCTATAGCAAACTACTGTAAATGTCATTCTATAAAAATCCATTTGAACACTTTGACTTTCTGATTGTATAACACTGCAGATTATTCCGCCAGTTAATAATGATGATGATAACTACAGGGCATAAGGATGCACTTTGAACACTGTGCGAATATTGACTGTATGTGTATATTCATTTATAACTAAGAGTAAAGTAATATTCAGCTTTTAGTGAGCATAGCATTACTAATTATACCGTTTGATGGGCATTTCTCTCAACAGGAGGAGATGTTCAATTCAAGTTACTTAATGACTTGGAAGTAAGGTTATCTAAACAAGAATTCACCACAGTTACTTTCCATACTAAACAAATGTGTTTCCTGTTTAAACATATAAAAAAAAAGATTTAGTATTGCAGCTAATGTAAGGGATGTGTAAACCAATTACTTGACCTGCGGGATACTTTTATTTGAAGTATGTAAAAAATATAAAAGGTTCTAATTCATTACGTGCATTTTCAGAAAATGTTCTTAAAAAAGGACCGAACCTCTATGTAAGGTTCAAGCATCAGCATAACAGAATATATTTTCATGTAGGAAAACCTCTGTGAACGTCAACAGCTCCATGTTGCAGTTGTTAATGGAATGTTTTATACACATTCTGAGAATAGGACCGGTTGTCCTCTGCCCTTGCACTTGGTCTCCAACATCTTCTGACAGAGTGCTGTTCCCTCCACAGCTCCCATCTAAGCTGTAACCATCCGGCTCTGCCTTATTTTTCAGAAACAGGCATTCTGGCTCACCTCCAGTCATTTTATCAGAAGTACCATATCATCTTGTGCCTTTCTCAGTGCTCTGCTTTTGAAGTTTCTTAATGTAACAAACACTCTGCCATGAATTATTTCACAGACTTATTTTCCATGTAGTTTTTATGGTTCTACAATGGCTCATGATGCCGGTTAGTTGTTTGTTCACTTTTAAGGAAAGAGGAATGTCGGGACCTGACACCACTATGTTAAATATTTATCTATTTATCATAACCAGCAACCATAGTGATACACTATCAGTTTGGAGTTCTCTCCTTAAGCTGGCCATACACCATGAGAATTCAATTAAAAAAAAAAAATATTTCAGAACGTTCGTTCAATTTTTTAATAGTTAATGGGGGTACATTTTTTTGAGAAACCCCATTAATTTCCAAAAGCAAATGTTAAAATTTAATGAAATTTCGAACAATAGTCCCTGATAGCTTTATCAAATGTTCTGATTAAATTTTTCAATTTAAATGTGCACTATGTAATTTTTAGAATGTTACTATTTGTGCAGAATTTTAAGGAAGCTCCAGTGCTGTATTAGAGGGGGGTTGTGCTGTGTCAAGCTTGCCCCTTAAGCTTTTTCTCCTTTTCCTACAAAAAAATCTCTTCCAATTCAGGATGACTAAAAACAAACAAAAAATGGAAAAGCGCACTACAAGGGGTCACCACTGATCAGGGGGTGGCCACAGTAAATTTAAGAACAGAAATTTTATTTTATAATGGCATACAAATTGAGATTTAAAAATATTTTTAAAAATAAAAATAGAAAATTAAAAACCAGTAAGTGTAATACACAGTGTGCAAGCTCTATGTAAACAGGGTGAGGGACCCTGTATAAAGTGAGAATCAACAAAGTGGTTGAGAGCGCTCTAACTGTATTAAAAAAAGACGACCACTCACGTTTTGGAAGTTACTGTGATGGTTGGTCACGAAGGACTGATGTGACTGGAACACATAGGATATCACAGCAGGCTGAGGGTGGCATCAGGGAGACATGTGGGGAGCTAGCCTGGAGGAGGTGATACGAGGACTGTGGAGAACCGTAAGGAGACAGCTGGCCAGGCTGAATCCTGTCGGCTGTGCGAGATCAGCCGCTCTGTGGTGGTGCTGTCACTGTCAGGTCGCAGTGGCGATGGGCTCGGCTCCAGTCGGCACAAGTGTCCATCAGACTGAGTGGTAGGGGGTGTAATGCTGTCGTTAGCTACGCGTTTCGAGGCTGCTGCCTTTGTCAAGCCTGAGATCGTGGTAAGGGAAAAAATGCGGGAATGATTCAATCTATTTGAATCTGACAGCTGGGAGGAGCCCGGGGCCCATCCACGGTTTGCGATAGGTGACCGGACTGAAGGGGGCGGGACAGGCTGATGATGATATCCCTAAGCCGTGAGCCCTTGAGATAGCAGGTTGCAGGCCGCGGGCAGTAAAAAGTAATTCATTACTGATCTTTAGAGGGGCTCGGTGGAGACCATACAGAATAGTATCTAAAGATATCTGGGGATGTGGATGTCTTAGTGATTGTGCATAAATAACGTGACATGAAGAGAGTGGACAGGATGTTGGTGTTGGTACATATAATAAGACAAAATTAAAAGGATTCTTACTAAATATATTCTTTATTGTTTATTGTAGTATAAGGCTGTTTACTGTTAAAAGTAGCTTGTCGTCAAGCTTGTGGAAGAGGTAGTGCCTAAAAATATTGAGTACTGATATAGGTAATAGGTTATGAGCGAAAATGGTACCCAACCTGGTTTCAGAACATTTTTTAAAACATAGCCCCTGACACCAAAGTCTTAACATCAGAGTGGTCTTTTTTGAAGACAGTTAGAGCGCTCTCAACCACTTTGTCGATCTTACAATTCAGGAACAAGAGGAGTTGCTGGGTGTCAAATACACATATGTAGAAGACCAATTTTGTAGAAAAAATAAAATAAAAGTTAAACCACCAACCTTTTCCTCACTGGTCCATCCTCCGAATCTGAGGAAGTTACACTATTGGTGAGTGAAGATCCTTGAGAGGTGTCATCCTTCTCAGTTTCTGAGGACTGCCCTGATCCTTTAGACTGTCCATTAAGAAGAAGACCTAGAAAGAAAAAAAATTCTGAAATTAGACCTGAGCTACTTGCTAAGTAGTGTAAGTTTTATTAGAATCTCATTCCTTCTGCGAGCTATGATCTTTTGTAGAACATGAAAGGGAAAGTCTTTTAAATTCAGACTTTGTGTTTTCTGTTTTAATTACTTTCTCACTCACTGAAGCACCTATGATATCATTCAAGTCACCAAGATAAAAAAACATTAGGAGAAAAAAAAAAAAAAAAAGTATTTCCATTTCAATTTATTAAAGTTTTAAGTCGGAATACAAAGATAACGGGCAACAAAATATGACAATATAAGAATAGGTATAATCAAAGCATAAGTGAAACAATCAGGCGGACCAAACAAACAATTTGTGAAAAAAATATACATAAAAGTGGGATTGAACCAGTGCAAAAATGTTTTTATAAATGCTAAGAGCATAAAGAAAGAGGGCAATTAGTGCGATCAGTGCAGCAACCAGGTGGTAAAAGATCATTAACATCCGTGAGCAAGAAGGGGGGAAAGGAGGGAAGGCCAGGAAAGGAGGAGGGCGGGAAGGTGAGAAAAATAAGGAAGACAAGCAGAAAAAGAAGCAAGGCTAAGGCATTAAGAGAAAAGGGCAGACGGATGGGAGGAGAAGGAAAAGAAGAAAGGACAGTGAAGGCGAAAAAAGGTAGTAAAGGCAAGTAAGCCAGTAAACAGTAGCCAAGTTAGTGAGCAGCAGCTCCACCCTGAAAGGCAAACTGTCTAAGCCATTATGCGAGAGTGTGTGTCACAGGATCCAAGGTGGGAAGGGCACCGAGTTTTTGTTGGAAATGGTTCAATCCCATGATGAAGTAAATCTTGCCAGGGATCTCTCCGAATGAGCACATGAACTAAGTTGGAGATGAGCCTATATATTTTCGTCCAAAAGCAGATCGCAAAAGGGACAAGTCCACCATGTATGCAAAACATTACCTGTCACCAAACAACCCCTGAAGCAGTTACTGGCGTATGTGGGCTGAAGATGGCTAATTGTAGAGAGGACCAAGTACCATCTGGTAAGCATATTATAAGCAGACTCCTGGGTCCCAATATTGCGGGAACCTTTGGAAACAGTGTCCCAAGTTCCAACCCAATCCTCTAGGGATTTTGTGTGATTTAGGTCTTGATTCCATCTGACATCATATTTATGAGTTGCGTGGGAAGATAGGGCATTTAATTGCGAGTACAGTATTGAGACCAGTTAGGGAAACAGGATATGCTTTTAAAAAAGAGGTAAGAGGGGTAGTAATGTCCGAACCAGAAGTCAGGGATTGGACCCAGTATCTAATTTGAATGTAACAAAACAATTTCCTGGAATGGGGTTGAGACTTAGGGTCCCAAGACATTATTTTAGAGTCACAGTGGAAGCAAGAAAGAGTATTATAGCAGTGAGTGACCCACCGATCAAAAGCTGAAGGACTTTCAATTGCGGGGAAAATCATAGGGTTCCCTAGGAGAGTAGTAAGGGGGAGATGTGGGGATATTAAGGAACTAGAAAATTTGACTAGCTTCTATACTTTCAGCATGTGGAGGAGTTGAGGACAAGGAATGTTCAGGGCAACCATAGGGTGCTTGTTGTGCCAAATAAAGGACATAATGTGGTTCTGCATAGACACTAAGGCAAATCTAGGGATGTGTTATAACCAATACTTCTCAATCAATTTTCAACATTGTCACACATAAAATGGTTCTTAAAACCAATGAGCTTACAGGGTTGTGTTTACAGATGCTGGTCAGTCAAACAGCTTATATCTTTTAGGCAAGATCTCTTGGTTGAATTTTCCTTCTCATCGAATGATCAGTAATGGTGCATTTAATGAAAGTGAAGAGTTAAGAGTGAGAACTTCTTGGCAATGATTGATGTTTAAGCAGAGGTAAACCTCGAGAGGCATGAGTTTATTTCCAGAAGAGTCCATAAACAAAAGGAGGCAGTATCTGATTCTAAATAGTTGTGTGGGGTTTGACACTTTAAAAGCTGTGTGTGCAAAGATGCGGAGCACTAGAGCTCAAAATAAAACTCAGAGCACATAAACCATGACAAGAAATTGCTCACTGTCTACAGTAGGCAATTGCCAAGTGCTGTGCCTTTTAGTGAACAGGGGTAAAAGTACTACCAACAACAACCGAAAACATTATGTTATTCATCTATAGCATGTTATAAAATAAAAGCTTATGGTGGGTCAGCAGGGACAGGTTTTATTTCCTTTGGATGCAATACATACTGCCCCATCCTAATATGGATGTATGTCATATGAAGAAAACAGTACTGTGTTCACCTATAACCATCAGCACATTTTTCACTTTTGGACAATATAGAAAATCAGCAGGGGATTGCCAGGGCATATGGTGACAAAGAAGATGTACATTTCAGACAGCTTTTGGGTGACAGACACCCCAAGAGTCCCAAAGCAGTATGTAATCCGTTTTTCAAAAACAAACCTAAACTTGGAGATCAGTGCCCTTGATTACACCATCTCCATCCTCACTATCATTTACTGAGGCCAATAAATGATAGTGAAAATAAAGATGGAGTAAGCCAATCTCCCATCACCTATAGTGGCCAATAGTAAGGCACAAAAGAAATGCAGATGGGACGTGAAGGCCAAATTAATGGCTTCCTAAATGAAACTGGTATTTTCATAAAACTTTCAGGGCTCCCAGGACACACTTGATAAAAACTGAAGATATGAGCAGACACCTGTGGGTATGTGCTACAATGTCCTGCTGCTATTTTACCCTCACCACAAGGAAGAGTATGCAGCCCAGCTGGCAACTCTGCCATTTGTCAAAATGGCTGGTGTGTCCTAGAACATTTCAACGGCCGGATTGACCATTTATGACATGTTTAGACTGAAAGCACTTCTAAACCCAAAATATATTGCAGTTTACCAGACTTTAGATTAGAGACCTTGGTAATCTTGCAAATAAACTTGCAGAGTCTTGCAATGTCTTATGGGACTTGTAGTTTCACAACATGTGGAGGGCTGCAGTTTGGATATCCCTACTATAAAAAGAGTCACTTGAGTGATTCAGCTGGAGCTGCTGACATCACATCCAAGATGGCAGCGCCCAACTACAGACTCAGGGCTTTTGCATGTGTACGCAAGGGAGGATTTTATAGGTAAACAACATACCTAAAATATATTAAAACCACATACAGGCATTCATTAGTGCCCACCTGGATGGCACAAATGTCTATACTTGTCAATGCCATCTAGGGGTGCTAGTGTGAGCGGCCTCTACCTTTATAAATAAACACCATAATCTTATAAGAAGATTGTGATTGAACTGCCTGGCGACAAGGTCTTTTTAAAGAAAACAATGATACATACATATCAGCCTCTAACCTGCAGAAACGCTCTCACTAAGTGGTATACAAGAAGCATTTTCTTGTGGACAATTCAGTTCTAGATATGTCTCAATGGGGAGCAATTAACCTTCTCATTTTCCAGTATGAGTTTATCTCAGCAAGTGGATACGGACTGTTCAGTATTGCAATACAACAGTGTGCTATGAAATGCAAAGCACCACTGCACTCACCAAGGCATATATACTGAACTGGAATATCAAGAATGATATATGGCAAGGCTGTATGCAGCTAGAATAACCCTGGGACTGACACACAGAGAAAGGGGAGGAATGGTTCTTTAATGAAACCATTTAAAGAGGCTTTTTATATCCTGTGCAACTTGATATACCTATGAAAGAGAGATAATAATTCCTCTAGGCATGACTGGTTCCCTTTGTTAAACCACCTAATGATATTTATGTAACACCAATATTAAAAGTTCCTGAACATTATGCAAACATTATTGAAAGGGCTTTTTGGCAGAAAGATTCTAATTTTAACTGCTGTCGAGTCTACAAAAATTAATTTAGTATTCACAGAAGAGTAGTTAGGTCCTTTATTACCCGCAATATTTTATAATAAGACTGTAGATCAGAATATTAACCAAAAGAAAGTCATTTGAAAGCTCAGCACATCAACCTCAGTTGAAGTAGTGAATTCAAACACTAATTAAATATTTACAACTGGCAATAATTTAACAATACAGTTCAACAAAACAACCATAATTACTGTACAGCAAAATTATTATTTCAAATACTACAATATTAAACATTAAACCAACACCTTTATTAAAATGATAATACAATAATAGAATATAACAACAACAACGGAACCTGCGTGGTATCCATAGAAGCAAGAGTTAGCTTTAAACCTCAGTAAAGACAAGATGAACAGACAAAACACTTATCCTAAAAACCTTAAATTGTTATAATAATACCACTGAAAAATGGCTCACCACCCAAAGTGCATGTGAGCAATAAATGTTTTCAATAATATACACAAAAAGCAGTGAATTAAACATCAAATTCCACAAACAAAGACAAATCACAGTGAACCCAGATCAAAAACCACATGTGAAAACAGATCTTTCTTAAGGTGCCCATGCACTGCTCGATTCTCATACGAGAATCGCGGGAAATCCCGCGTTCGTACGAGAATCGAGCAGTGTGAACGAAGACGTGCGACCGTTTTTACTGTACGGTCGCACGTCTTTTGTCTAAGGAGCACGCTAGAAAACCAGCCGAAAATCGTACGATTTTCAGCTGGTTTGAACGGTGCTCGGAAGACAAATGCCGAACGGCCGGTGTGCGCACGCCCGTTCAGCATTGCGGTCATTGGAAGCCCGCCCCTCAGGGGGGACAGGCTTGCGATGATAGAGAGTACGATCTGCCTGTCCAAGATCGGCAGATCGTACGTTTTTTTAATCACTTTACAACCATCGCAAGACTAAGGTCTTGCGATGGTTGTACAGTGTATGGCCACCTTTATGCTGGGCACACACCTTACAACCATCGCAAGACTTCTGTCTTGGTTGTAAGGTAATTAAAAAAATTTACGATCTGCCCATCTTGCCGTTCTGTGATTGTATGAGGGGCAGGGATGCCATGTCACTGGGTACAAGTACGAGTACATGT